TACGCGAAGCTCGGCCTGTCATTGAACATCGAGAAAACGAACATGCTCTTCTAGCAATCACCAGCCAATCCCTCTCAAATGCCCTTGGCAGCCACTTCTCCACAAAAGTCAACATTGAGACTGAAATACAACAACACCTGGGCTCTGCAAGTGCAGCACTCTTCCGAATGAAGCAGAGAGTGTTTTAGGACCGGGACATCCATAGGGATTCCAAGGTGGTTGTTTATAAAGCCGTTGTCCTGAAGCCCCCACCCCCCCCCCCGCAGCTTCAAAGCCTGTCTGTTTCTTAGACTCATAGAGAAAGAACTCTTGTCTGTTGCAATTGGCCACCTTATCTGTGAAAAACCCTCTCTAGGAACCTAAGTAATTGATCTAGTATCTTGGTCCGCAACAACTACTAGAACTCTACATTACACACTATTACTTACTTAGGTGATTCCTCGTTGTCTGAGTATGATTGTCTTTCACATACAGTGTGGTGGCAGTAGATACTTAGATGACTGTGGAGCGCTATTCTTGATCCGTGTGTTCTTCCACAGTGAGGACATCAGTTTCCAGGTGGAAGGCGGTTTTGGTCAAGGTTGGCTTGATGCACCATCCTCTTGGCATGTTTCTCCCTTTTGCCCTTCATTTGAGCCTCTTGTATTCCACAGCACTGCTTGTCACAGCTGACTTCCAGTTAGAGTGCTCAAGGACCAGGGCTTCCCAGTTCTCGGTGTCTATGCCACCGTTCTTAAAGTTACCCCTAAGCTCATCTATAAATCTCTTTTCCTGCCCACCAACATTCCATTTTCCATTCTTATGTTCAGAGTAGAGCAACTGCTTTGGGAGATGGTGGTCGGGCATCTGGACAACGTGGCCGGTCCAGTGGTTGATGCCGTAGGAGCATCGCTTCATTGCTGGTGGTCTTTGCTTCTTCCAGCACACTGACATTTGTCCACCTGTCTTCCCAAGAGATTTGCAGGATTTTTCGGAGGCAACGCTGATGGAATCGTTCCAGGAGTTGCATGTGACGTCTGTAGACAGTCCATGTTTCTCAGGTATATAGCAGGGTTGGGAGGGCAATGGCTTTATAAACAAGCACCTGGGAATCCCTACGGATGTCCCAGTCCTCAAACACTCTCTGCTTCATTTGGAAGAGCGCTGCACTTGCAGAGCTCAGGTGTTGTTGTATTTCAGTGTCAATGTTGACTTTTGTGGAGAAGTGGCTTCCAAGGGAGCGGAAATGGTCAACATTTTCTCATTTCTGGCAGGAGTAAAGCCAGAAGGGTGCCTCTGTGGAGGATTTGGTGTCCATTTCATCCAAGATGCATCCAAGTGGGCCACACTGCACATATCAGCAATTTTGTTCCTCCCAATAGACTCAGGTAACAGCAAACCACTGCAGCTTTGCTATTCTTCCTCATTCATAATATTTTCCACCTTGTCCCTGGTGTTGCTTGTTCGCAATCGTCTCTGTTTCTATCTGGGAAATTTTGCTGGGTTCACTTAGTCGGAGAACCTCTTTATGGGGATATTATTAGAAATCAAGAGATCCGCTGGTCCTTTTTGCATTCTCTTGCCGGCTGTGCCGCTTCTCATCCCGTCATCTCTTTAAATAAAAAGGACAACCTAGTGGCAATGAAACCTGAGTAGTTGATCATGCAGGCATATCATAGACTTCCCAAATCATTGAAGAGCTTAAATGCATTTCTATTGATCGGCTTTCTTTGGGAAATGAAAGCACGGGAAATAAATTCGAGCTCCCTCTTAATTTGATAACATGCCTCAAAACACAAAAACGCTCCCAAATGGTGTTTCAAGGAGCACTCGCCTGCATGTGGATCTCGGCAAGAGGGCTTCTGGGTATGATGTTACATAAGGTATAATGAAATCACACCTTATTATAGCCTGAGATCAAAAAGAGATAATGCCATGGCCATGGAGAGATCATAGCATCGTAGAGTTGGAAGAGACCTCATGGGTCATCCAGTCCAACCCCATTCTGCCAAGAAGCAGGAAAATTGCATTCAAAGCACCCACGACAGATGGCCATTCAGCCTCTGTTTGAAAGCTTCCCAAGAAGAAGCCTCAACCACATGGTATAGAACGGTGTTTCTCAACCTTCCTAATGCCACAACCCCTGAATACACTTTCTCATGTGATGGTGACCCCCAACCATAACATTATTTCCATTGCTACTTCATAACTGGAATTTTGCTACTGTTAGGAATCATAGAACCAAAGAGTTGGAAGAGACCTCATGGGCCATCCAGTCCAACCCCCTGCCAAGAAGCAGGAATATTGCATTCAAATAACCCCTGTGAATCCAAATGACTATTGGCACAAATTCCTGATACACCCAAATTTGAATGCTGGTGGCGTTGAGAGGGATTGATTTTGTCATTTGGGAGATGTAGTTGCTGCCAAAGGGGTTCCTATGAATATCAGAAATATATGTTTTCTGATGGTCTTTGACGACCCCACTGAAACCTCCTCAGTCAGGACCCCCAGGTTGAGAAACACTGAGTTAAAACAAGTTTGACAACCCTTTAATTGCTATGGCTCAATGCTACAGAATCCTGGGAGTTGTAATTCTGCCCACCAGTACTATTGGGCAGAAAAGGCTAACGGCCTTGTGAAACTACAACTCCTATGATTCCACAGCATTGAGCCATAGCATTAAAGTGGTGTCAAACTGCATTTGCTTTAGAGTGCAGATGCACTCTAATTAAATTTGATATGACTTGGTAATAATGTCCAGGCCATTTAATCTTTTCAATAACGTATTTGTATTTCCTTAATGGATATTCTTTCCTTTCCAGATAAAGTTAACCAACATTTTCTGCTACATAAATGGAAAAAAGAGGGATTAAAATCAGAACATCTGCCCAAATGAGGAGACATGGAAGGCCGTTCCTCTTTAATGCAGTTCTCTCTCTCTCTCTTATCTGGAGCATATTCAATACTTTAAAATATATTTTTTACTCTCTCGTTTGCTACCGGGAGATAAATATATCAATATAAAACCTCAATATTTGATGTTTACTCAATGTTATATAATCATCAAGGTATTTCGTAGCTTTATTTGACCACGGCAAACAACATTTTGGAATATTAATATCAGCCTCCAAAGCCATATTAATTCCCACTAATCTTGGTTTTCTCAGGGCTGAGCAGAAAGTTCTCAGATTAACCTTTTCAGCCCCAAACAAAGCATTCAGAGATAGTGAAAATATCTGTTTAAAATATGTATACCATCTCTCCCATGCCATGGTATTATCTCTTTTTGATCTTAGAGCAGCGTTTCTCAACCTGTGGGGTCACGAGAGGGGTTTCAGAGGGGTCGCCAAAGACCATCAGAAACTACATATTTCTGGTAGTCTTAGGAACTCCTTTGGCAGCAACCGCAACTCCCAAATGACAAAATCAGTCCCTCCTAAACCCACCAGTATTCAAATTTGGGTGTATCAGGTTTTTGTGCCAAATTTGGTCCAGGGTTCACAGTGCTCTCCAGAGGTAGGTGAACTACATCTCCCTTGAATCATTATCAATTCCTCCCAAATCCCTCTAGTATTTTCTGTTGGTCAGGGGGGGTTCTGTGTGGGAAGTCTGGCCCAATTTTATTGTTGGTGGGCTCTTTGATTGTAGGTGAACTATAAATCCCAGCAACTCCCAAATGTCAAGGTCTATTTTCCCTACACTCCACCAGTGTTCAAAGTTGGGTATATTGAGTATTCATGCCAAGTTTGGCCCAGATCCATCGCTGTTTGAGTACATAGTGCTCTCTGGATGTTGGTGAACTACAACTCCAGAACTCAAGGTCAATTCCCACCAAACCCTTCCAGTATTTTCTCTTGGTCAGGGGAGTTCTGTATGCCAAGTTTGGTTCCATTTCATCGTTGGTGGAGTTCAGGATGCTCTTTGATTGTAGGTGAACTTTAAATCCCAGCAACTACAATTCCCCAATGTCAAGGTCTATTTTCTCCAAATCCCACCAGTGTGCACATTTGGGGATATTGAGTATATGTGCCATGTTTGGTCCAGCTCCATCATTGTTTGAGTCCACAGTGCTCTCTGGATGTAGGTGAACTACAACTCCAAAACTCAAGGTCAATGCTCACCAAATCCTTCCAGTATTTTCTCTTGGTCATGGGAGTTCTGTGTGCCAAGTTTGGTTCAATTCCATCATTGGTGCTGTTCTGAATGTTCTTTGATTGTAGGTGAACTATAAATCCCAGGAACTACAACTCCCAAATGACAAAATCAACCCCCCAACACCAGCAGTATTCAAACTAGGGTGTTTTGGGTATTTGTGCTGCATTTGGTCCAGTGAATGAAAATACACCCTGCATATCTGATATTTACATTACAATTCATGACAACAGCAAAATTACACTTATGAAGTAGCAACGTAAATAATTTTATGGTTGGGGGTCATCACAACATGAGGAACTGTATCAAGGAGTCGCAGCATTAGGAAGGTTGAGAAACACTGAGTTAGCCTCGAGTCGCCATTAAGGCTGAGAAAAGCGGTATTCAAGTAAATAAATAAATAAATGTGTCAACTGTAGAATAAGATGTATGAAGCTGATAGGTTAAGGAGAAGACTGAGCCTGGGACTTTTGGATACTGTTACATTTTCTAGGCTTGAACTATGCAGGTGCTTGCAGAGAAAAAGAGAGAGAGAGAGAGAGAGAGAGTTTGGAATGTAGTCTTGCTTCATGAGCTGCTGAAGGAGTTTATCCACATGGACAAAGAAAGATAATTGAGAACCACTGGACTAGATGGTCTTTGGGATCTCTTCCAACTCTATAAGTCTATAAATTAGTATTTGAGTATTTGTATTTCAGGTTCTATGTCTATTTCACCATAAAATGATGTTATGGTTGGGGGTCACCACAACATGAGGAACTGTATTAAGGGACTGAGGCATTAAGAAGGTTGAGAAACACTGTTTTAATTCCTGATTCCCTGTTGTTCCTATGGGTTATTCATTGTTCCCTTCTTTTGCTGGCCAGGTTCTACTGGGACCTCACCATGCTGCTCCTGATGGTTGGCAACCTGATCATCATCCCCGTTGGCATCACCTTCTTCAAAGACGAGAACACCACGCCGTGGATCGTTTTCAACGTGGTCTCGGACACCTTCTTCCTCATTGACCTGGTCCTCAATTTCCGGACGGGGATTGTGGTGGAGGACAACACGGAGATCATCCTTGACCCACAGAGGATTAAGATGAAGTACCTCAAGAGCTGGTTTGTGGTGGATTTCATCTCCTCCATCCCAGTAGACTACATTTTTCTGATTGTGGAGACGCGCATTGATTCAGAGGTTTACAAGACGGCGAGAGCTCTCCGGATCGTCCGCTTCACCAAAATCCTCAGCCTTTTACGTCTCCTGCGGCTGTCCAGGCTCATCCGTTACATCCATCAGTGGGAAGAGGTGAGCACAGACGGGCTAATGATGAGCAAATCTGGCTTTCTTTGGTGATATTTTGGGATACTAGAAAACAACGTGGTTTCTCATTGACATAATATTTTGAGCTGCATAGTTCATAGTTCGGGTTTAGCTTTTATGGGCTGGACTATTCATAGATTTGATTAAGATGGTCTCCCTAAAGTCCAGGTCTCCCAGTTCAACTGTATGGACAACTTCCATGGGTCAACATTGACTGGAGATTTCTAGAGGCGTACTCTATAGCAGTGTTCCTCAACACTGTGCTCCTTCAGGTAGTTTGGACTTCTCCCAGAAATTCCAGGCAGGTTACCAGTGGTTAGGAATTGTGGGAGTTGAAGTCCAAAACACCTGGAGGGTCCAAGTTTGCCTGTGCCTGATCTACACTATTGTTCCTCAACCCAGTGCCCTTCAATAAGGCTATTTATTTCTCGTGTCAGGGCAGCCAGTCAGTTATGTTACATTTCTAACAGAACAAAGCAAACAAACAGAGAAAATACAAAATGTGTGAGTTTGGTAGTTGATTAAATGTCCTTTGACCAGTATCTGGCCACTTGGAGTGCTTCTGGTGTTGTGCAAGAAGGTCCTCCCTTGTGCATGTGGCAGGGCTCAGGTTGCATTGCAGCAGGTGGTCAGTGGTTTGCTCTTCTCCACTCGCATGTCGTGGATTCCACTTTGTAGCCCCATTTCTGAAGGTTGGCTCTGCATCTCGTGGTGCCAGAGCGCAGTCTGTTCAGCGCCTTCCAAGTCGCCCAGTCCTCTGTGTGCCCAGGAGGGAGTTTCTCATTTGGTATCAGCCATTGGTTGAGGTGCTGGGTTTGAGCCTGCCACTTTTGGACTCTCGCTTGCTGAGGTGTTCCAGCGAGTGTCTCTGTAGATCTTAGAAAACTATGTCTAGATTTAAGTCGTTGACGTGCTGGCTGATACCCAAACAGGGGATGAGCTGGAGATGTCTCTGCCTTGGTCCTTTCACTATTGGCTGCTACTTCCCGGCGGATGTCAGGTGGTGCAATACCAGCTAAGCAGTGTAATTTCTCCAGTGGTGTAGGGCGCAGACACCCCGTGATAATGCGGCATGTCTCATTAAGAGCCACATCCACTGTTTTAGCGTGGTGAGATGTGTTCCACACCGGGCATGCGTACTCAGCAGCAGAGTAGCACAGCGCAAGGGCAGATGTCTTCACTGTATCTGGTTGTGATCCCCAGGTTGTGCCAGTCAGCTTTCGTATGATATTGTTTCTAGCACCCACTTTTTGCTTGATGTTCAGGCAGTGCTTCTTGTAGGTCAGAGCACGGTTCAGAGTGACTCCCAGGTATTTGGGTGCGCTGCAATGCTCCAGTGGGATTCCTTCCCAGGTATCCTCAGAGCTCGGGATGCTTCTCTGTTCTTGAGATGAAAGGCACATGTCTGTGTTTTAGATGGGTTTTAGAAGGCTATAAGGGATGCCTAGGTACGTCCCCTCAAGATCTTGTGGTCTGTTGCCACCTCCTCTGTTAAGATGTCATGCATAGAGTGCTTTATGGTAGAGCTGGACCTGTTTTGCGTGGTGGGGGGAGTATCTCAATGGTTCCATCAATCATACATCCCATCTGGGCCTTGGAAGTGTCTGATGTCGAGATGGGAGCCCAGTATGTAATGAACTATAAAGTGAAGGCAAATATTTGAATAGCTTCGGCGTTACATCTCGGAGGCGAAGAGAGGAAGGCACAGTGCTTGCCACGATTATTACCTGGCGGCAACAATTTGAATTTAATGTTGTGTTTCTCAATGAAGACATTAGGTAACAGAGGGGGGCACGAAGGGAGGCATTACCCTGGGGCAGTAGAAGCGGAACACTGAAATGACTGGAATTTGAGGACGGGAAACTTTATTTGTCACGAGCTGTCCCCTGCCAGGCGTTGCTGTGGCCCAGTCTGGTGATCTGGAAAATAAAGTAATGAGAAAGTGTTGGTTTCTAATATATGTAATGTCTTGAGGCTTGTGAGTAAACAGTATTTCTTGTTGTTTCTTTGTCAGTGTTGATGTGGAGAGTGTCTGGTTTGCCTACTCTGGAATATGCAACATATCATTGTCCTTCTTTAGGGTCTCTTTCAAATCTATGATACATATCTGTGTGTGAATCATATTATATCTATCTATATCTATGGCTGGATGGGCTCTTGTCAGGAGGGCTTTGATTACGTTTTCTTGCCTGGTGAAGGGAGTTGGACTGGGTGGCCTTAAGTATTTTCTGTTGGTCATGGGGGTTCTGTGAGGGAAGTTTGCCCCAATTCTCTCATTCGTGTGGTTCAGAATGCTCTTTGATTATAGATGAACTATAAATCCCACCAACTACAACTCCCAAATGTCAAGGTCTATTCCCCCCAAACTCCATCTGTTTTCATATTTGGGTATTTGGAATATTCGAGCCAAGTTTGGTCCAGATCCATTATTGTTTGAGTCCACAGTGCTCTCTGGATGCTGGTGAACTACAGCTCCCAAACTCAAGGTCAATGCCCACCAGGCCCGTAGCCAGGATTTCGATTCGGGGGGGGGGGCTGAGTTTGTTTCGGGGGGGGGGGCTGAGTCTGAGTGAAAGAGGGTCTACCCTAGCAAACTTTTTGTATCATTACCCCAATACCCCCATGCATATGGGATATATTGAGCATGGTGATCAGATCATGATATGACTAAACCCCCCCCACTGGCTACATGCCTGGTGCCCACCAAATCCTTCCAGTATTCTCTGTTTGTCATTGGAGTCCTGTGTGCCAAGACTGGTTCAATTCCATTATTGGTGGAGTTCAGAATGCTCTTTGATTGTTAGTTAACTATAAATTCCAACAACTACAACTCAAATGACAAAATTAATTTTTTTGAGTGATGGTCACTCCTTGGGTTAGTAGGTGTCTTATGGCTAAATTTGGTGTCAATTCGTCCAGTGGTTTTTGAGTTATGTTAATCCCACAAACGAACATTACATTTTTATTTATATAGATTTATTTACCACATTTGTATACCACCTTTCTCAGCCTGGAGGCGACTCAAGGCGGTTCGCAGTCGGCAACAATTTGATGCCTCAAAAATTATTAATAACAATTAATTAATTAAAACTAACCCATGAGCACTATGAAGAAACAAACCAAAACGAAGTCTATACTGGCTCAGTCTATGGTCAGGATAAAAATCAGTGGTGGATGCTGCTGATTCTGGACATCTATTGAATCAAAATACAAATGAACAATCACAGACGTGGCAGAAATATACAATGCCAGAAAACCACACAGTTACTATGATGATGATAATGATGATGATGATGATGATGATGATGATGATTATTATTATTATTAGAAACACAACATGAGTCCGCAGCAGACACTCTGCTGGCTGTTGAATTGGATCACACGTCAGACACTTCCCAAGTGTCTAGGACTGTGTGATGTATCGGCAAACAATGCGTGCAGATCCCAGTAAGGTGGCCTTCTGCAGCTGGCAGGTGGTATTTTGCCAGCGCTGATTGTCTTTAAGTGCAGGCCAAGGTCTTGAGGCACTGCACCCAGTGTGCCGATCACCACTGGGACCACCTTGGCTGGCTTGTGCCAGAGTCTTTGCAGTTTGATCTTTAAATCGTCATATTGTGTCAGCTTTTCCAGTTGTTTTTCTTCAATCCTGCTGTCTCCTGAGATTACGACATCGACAATCCATACTTTGTATTGTGGAAGGCTTTCATGGCTGGAATCACTAGGTTCTTGTGGGTTTTTTCAGGCTATGTGGCCATGTTCTAGAGGCATTTCTCCTGACGTTTCGCCTGCATCTATGGCAAGCATCCTCAGATGTAGTGAGGTCTGTTGGAAATAGGACAATGGGTTTATATATCTGTGGAATGGCTGGGGTGGGGCAAAGAGCTCTTCTCTGCTGGAGCTAGGTGTGAATGTTTCAACTGACCACCTTCATTAGCATTTGAAGGCCTGGCTGAGCCTGGGAAAATCTTTTGTTGAGAGGTGTTACGATGTGCCTGGTTGTTAACTCTCTGCTGTTTTGCTGTTGTAATTTTAGAGTTTTTTAATACTGGTAGCCAGATTTTGTTCATTTTCATAGTCTCTTCCCTTCTGTTGAAATTGTCCACATGCTTGTGGATTTCAATGGCTTCTCTGTGTAGTCTGACATGGTGGTTGTTGGTGTGGTCCAACAACCTTTAACTGTGCAAATGCTCCCCTGGTCACCACCAAAACCTGTTGTTCCAGGCTCAGCAATGAGTCCAGGATCACTCCCAAGCTAAGCAAGATGAGCAAAGGACGTGATAAGAGCGACACAGTAGAATGGAGAACTGGGAAACCTGTCGTGAATCCTGTAGGAGATTCTCCTCCCTGTCTTTGAGTCATAATTTTACAGCAAGGTGAGGTGTGGGAGATCTGAAGGTGAGAATTGATGTCTGTGCGGCCCTTGTGTTTTCCATCTGCCAAGGCTGCTAAACAGAGGAAGCCTCTCTTCAGGTGGAAATTGCTTCTGCCTTCTCTCACTTGGATCCTAGTCTGGATGAATTTAGCAAGTAAAAGATATTGCAGTCAGTTTAGGACAACTGTGGAAGGCCAAAGGATTGCATTAGGTCTCCAGGAGACCGTCACAACTTCCTACAGCAAAAGGAAATCACAATTATGTCCTCAAATGCCCTTTAAGGGGTACAAGGATACATTTTTGGGGGGCTGTTTTGGAACTACAAAGGTCATTTTGAAGCAAAACAGCTCAAGAATATTTCAAACCACACTAAAAAATGTCATTGTTCATGAGACAATGGCTTTGTGGACCCCGGTTTCCTGGAATCTGGAAAGGTTACCATTCTGGACTTTGCTTTGCTGTAGTACTCTGGTCACTAAAATCGCTTTTCCAAGTTTTCTCACCTGCATTGGGATATTATAGGTTAAGAGAGACCCTGGGCCCTTCCACACAGCCCTCTATCCCAGAATATCAAGGCAGAAAATCCCACAATATCTGCTTTGAACTGGGTTAT